AATGCTAATAAAACATTTTCTATAACCTCACATTCTAAAACCCCAAGGCCAAAATGTAGTAGAAATATGCTTAGTATTTTGATAAAAGCGTCTCCTGCACATTCAGAATCAACTTGTTTTTATACATCCATCATCTTTTTGCCAGTCTAGGCTCCAGGCATAGGCCAGGGACTGCAATGCAGCTGTGACCAGCTTTGCCTTTGCCAAAATCCTAGAAATTCTGCCAGCATTTCCTTGGTCCATCTCAAGGCTGATTGCTGTAGCCCATGTGTGTGAGTCAGTGCTGGGCAGAACGCACTGGTCCCTGCCATCAGTGCTTCGGTGGTCCCCATGTTTGGGGGACCTGAAGTGCTGAGCTTGGAACCAGCAGTCCCCATTCACACAGTCAAACAAGATTTGATTGCTTTTTGCCACAGGTGAGTGCTTTGAGCAATGGTTGGTAGATTTTGTTGCAAGTGCCCTAAAGAATACGGTAGTGCTCAGAAAATGGGAACTCATGAAAGTGGGAGGCTGTGCCTGGAGCAAAGTGGCACTGAACCTCACCAAGTGGCACTGCCGTCACTGCTAATTTCATGCCTAGCTTAAAACCTCTGCTGTCCAAACGCCCTTCTAGCTGTAGAAGATTGTTGAGGGAACGCCTATTCTGAGCAAAAAATATGCCCTCAGTCCTTAGATATCCTGCGTCCGGAAATTTTTTCCTGTAAGCAAAGGCATGTATTACTGCATCATGTGCTGTCTCTATGAGATGCTAGCTAGCCAAAAGGCACTAGAAGAAGAAAGTACAGTATATGATTTCCCAGTATTATATTGCTCGTTCTACAATTCACTGAACTTCTGCAGAAAAAGGGCAAGCACAGGTCTGCGTACTGAGGGGCAGGCACTCGCTGGTGAACTGGAGCACGCTCCACAGACATCAGGACGACTATCAGAGTTTGTAGTATAGCCAGTTCCACAAACTAATAGAGAAATAAGGGAACTGTGGAGATTTGTTTAGCCACTTCTTTGGCCTTTGGTAGAAAACAGTACACTTGGCCTTTCCCCGAGTGCAAGCGGAGCTGCTCTGACTGCAGAGAGCTTGCAACTGAGACATGCCCTGCAGAAGACCAGAGCCAGCTAGAACCAGGGATGGATAGCATGCATAGCCCAAAGTTGCGTTTTCTCTTCCTTACTGTGTTCCCAACGCTATAATCAAGAACTCAGTACTTTTCTTTGCTAGAAAGCAAGAAAATATCTTTGCTTCTTTAAACGCATGCATGATCTTGAGTAATCTTAGCAAAGGTAAAGTTTTCTTCAGAAGCAGTAAAACCAGATACAGCAACACCGAAGACAAGATAGAAAGCGGTCTGCAATCCAAGGAGTTACTGTTTTTCTTCCTTCAAGCAAGATTGGGCAGTGACAGCTGCTCTGTGGAGATAAGTCCTTTTCTACTTAGGGATATGCAGAAAGAACTGGTAGCATCAAGAAACGCCATATTTTCACAGGTGACTCCTCTTCTGCAGATAAAATTGCTTACAAGCATGTGCACGCTTTATGTCACGTTTACCTGGCAGCTCACCACACATGGACTGGCATCTTTTGGCAAGAGCAGCTGTTGGGTAGGCAGAGAGGGTCTCAGTGAAGCCAGTGCCCCATCAGTCTTGATGACTCCACCCATGCATCCACGCACGCAGAAAAGATCAATCCAAGTACTGTGATTTGGCTACAGAGAAAATTGTGGCACGTTACTTAGACTCTCTGGATATCAAATATAGACATTGGTATCTGTGGTATTTGAAAAGGAAGTGAACTCTGATGTTGATTATTATTTTTTTAATTAGGTTCAAAAAATGTATTAGATGTAATTTTTACAGCTGTTGCTGGTTTGTTAGTACATCTGTCCCTAAATCCCCCCGCTGTTTGTTTTATGGTTTACAATCATATTTTCATTTGTTTAAAGAAATGTTTTTCTCTCCCCTGTTGTTACATGAGACATCCACATGAACAACAGGGCAATGAGGAAACTGCCTATACCCACAGTTCTGTCAAGTGTACAAAACAAACAAACTGCAGAGCAGAGCAGGGCTTCCTTCCCCCATCCCCTTTTGCAATTGTACTCATCTCACTTGTAGCAACATTAGAGAATATTTTGGTGCCAAAACATGATTCTTTCAAGTGATTAAAAACTACTTCAATTCATTAAGGACATATTCTGTGTTGTATGCTTTTTAGGAAGAGAACGTATCCCTCATTAGATCATCTAATGTAACGGAAAATAAGAACAGCTTTCAGACTCCAAGTCCTTTCAACAAGCCTCAACCCAGAAGTCTGCCTGTTTTTCCAGCCGTGTTAATAGGTAGAACGTGATACAGGACCTCTTGCTCCAAACTCTGTGCATCTTAATAAGGCTCTACTGCTTTTACGGCAGCAACGTGTTTTAGTCAGGTAGTTTTGATTTACATGACTGTCTTTGTAATTAATCGCATTTTCATGGTCATGTGCAGCTGAAAGAGATAGAGCTTATTTTTTTGAAACTATTCATATGAGTCTAAGATTTTTGAGGGAAGAGAGGGAAATCAAGCAGTGGCACACTGCAGTGCGCCAGCTGCGGCGAGCTGGCAGAAGCCCAGCTGCCCTGGCTTCGCCTGACACAGCGCAGTGTCAGGGTATGGGGCGTCTGCACCCAGGTCCCCCCAGCCAGGGCACCTAGGCCATTGCCACCACGCTGCATAAGAGCAGGGGCAGCCCCAGCCGGGGCAGTCCCAAGCCAGCCCTCCCCCACGGGAAACCCTGCGCTGGAAAGTGCCCAACCACTGCCCTACAGCAGGGCGAGGGTCCCATGGGTTGTCCTCCAGCTTGCCTAAAACAGCCTGAAACGCTCTGCGGGAAGCGATGGGAATTGAGTCACATACCCTCACTTGCCTTTCTGCCATCTCAGCCGTGCCAGCCTGACTGTTTTGATTGCAAAGTCTGCATGGGAGGAGGGGTGGAGGGGTTGTTTTTTTAATGATGGTCATTATGTGATTGGACAAAAGGGTATAAATTCTAAAATACGACAGGCACGTCAAAGACAAAGAAACACTTCTCCACAGGTCTTCTATATTGCAGTTAAAATGATTTATACCACACCAGCCCTCTGCAATAGCAGTTATGGTAAATATTTCAACTGGGAAACTAAGGCACAGGTCAGCTATTATATTTGAAAGTACACACTTCTGATCAATCCTACCTGTGCAGACCTCACTGCAATTTCAAGATGCATATTAGTGGCAGAGATAAGAAAATTGTGGGACCCCTAAGCTATTTATCATAGGCGATATTTTTAAAGCTTATTGCTACTGTGTTACTGCAAGTTTAGCGCACACATACATATCTTTCAAAAACCAAAATTATCAAATGAAAGCATGAACAAGTCCAGGTGAAGCATTCTGCAGATATGCATTTTGTAATAGTGCTAAGCTCAGAGAGCAAATAGCTCTGGTAACTGAGATGTTTGCCCTCAGTGTGCTCCAATAAACTGATTTACCTTTCTTCTTTTTTTTCCCCTTTTTTTTAAAAAGAGCTGACGCAAGTTTGTCAAAGGGAGTTGTTGGGGTGTAGCAGCTGTTGATTGGTTCATCTGATACACTCCCATTTGTCTTTAAATCACTGTCCAACTGCTCTAGGTTGCACATGAGCAAACTTTTCATTACAGGTGCAATTCCTAAAAGATATATCCTGCTTAGCAAGCAAGTAAGAGAACCTGTTTAACTCAAAGGTAAACCTAAAACTTTTACTTTACAAGATATAATCAATTTAGTGTAGACATTTTCCACATCTTTAAAAATTGAAAATTAGAAGAAAATAAAGCTTCAAAAATTTAATTAGTCTGTAAATATATGTGCAATGTGAATGATAGGGTCCTTAAGATTTGTTGTCATAATAATTTATGTTGGCAAGTATGTTTGTTTTTCTTCAGGCATGAAATTCAGTCTTTTTTTGTGCAGAAAATCAAAACCTAAGCAACTACAGATGTAATAGGAGGTGATTAAAACTAACCAGACAGTTAAGAAATGGTATGTTTGCTTTCTTTTGTAGCCTTTGGCTAACTTCTGAGAATTTTTATCAAGGATCCTGATTTAGCGATAATGGAGTTGGTAAGGGAGTTCAGGAAGTGAATTTGTGAAAGCTGGCTTTGCATTTTAATTGTTTATTTCACAGTGATAACACGTTTTTTATTCTGAAGTAGCTGCACGGACAATGATTTGGTAAACTCACTGCTACACAGATGAAGAAGCAGGCAAACTCTGCTGATTCAGATACCATGACAGGGTTTTAAAATATTTATATTTAAAAAAAAATTAAAAACGTTAGCCATATCTGTGATCTGGCATTACTTGCCTGTCTGATGGTTGTCCATGCTCTTAATATCCTAACCGTAGACTGGAAAGATGTCCATAACACTGTGAAATTAGATGCCAAAAAAGTTTATAGTTTTCTGAGTTATTTCTGAAAACCATTATTCAATAAATGATACAGAACTGTACAGAACCCTGTACAGTTTTATAGGGATAAATAACTTTCCTGAAATAATAGGTGAATCTTTTTTGCAGCCAGTATTTCCATTTTAATACCATATTTTAAGAAAAGTCTTCTCTGTTCAGCCAAATACCACAGGAGGCAACAAAAGCATCGCTGCATTGAAGCCAAGTTTAAGGAATACTGTAAAGCTAATAGATTTTTCTTGCATGTAAATATAGTGGGAAAATAGTATTGATCTTAACTAAAGGAAAGGAAAAATAAGTGGAGAGCTTTTTGTTCATGTTCACACTTACAAAAATCCTCTCTAGGGAAAGGAAGTCAGTCAGACATCAGCGGGTTTAGATGCCCAAAACAGGATTTGGGCACCCGAATCCAGAATTCTGAACCGGAAAGCACGAAATCCCAGGAGAACCTCAAGCAGATGCACTTCAGTGCTGTGCTTTAAAATCCCTCCCACGACTGTAGGTTAGGCTTCTGCCAGGGTGCAGGACTGCCACGGCCCCGGGTGGCCACAAGGTGCTCGGAGCAGCTGGTGGTGTCACCACGCAGGTCCCCGGAGCAGGTCGGTCTGACGCCCGTCGTACAGACCCGTCGTACAGACCCAGGCATGCCACAGCCTCGGACAAGGTGCGAAATGTAACTGGAGCCAGTGTTTTCTATAAAATATAGCCAGCTAGTGCATCCCTTGTTTATAAATGATGTCTCGCCATTAGAGCAGCTACATGAGAAGTGCGGCGTTCCTCCGTGTTCTCCCTGGCCTGAGCGATCATTTGAAGGGGTAGCAGTACCTTTCTTGTTGTACTGTCTTCTCCAGTACCACCCCGCAAGGCTCAAGGGGCTGGGGTGGGGTGTGTGAGAGTATAGAGGCCCATGCCTCTGGTAGCTGGTGGTTTGGACCCTCATCCCAAGGGCTTTGAGTTCATGGCAGAGCTGTCAGGACTCTTTCTTGACTTTTTCCACAGCTTGCTTAGTGTAAGATGTCAGTGAGCATGTGAGAAGTGAAAGTGGAAGGGTCAAATGAGCGTAGATCTCATACATTGCTTGTCTGGTTGACATGCCGGGATGTAGACTGTGACCTTGTAAGCAGCTTTAACCCTTCAAGTACTTTTGGGGAGCACGTGCTACCAGGACACCTGGACCTCGATGTCCTCCTAAAAACTTGTCAGTATTTACAATGTTAGAAATGTGAAGAAATGGATTTCCACCAGCTAAGGACCAGTTTCTGCAAGCTCTGCTGAAGGTCAAAGCAACTGTTGGTTATAAATAATTTTAAAGTTAATAGTGTTTGCGCGATTTGAACCTAACTCTAGCTCTGAGTTTATCTCATGGATCTGATCTTGCCCACATTTATGTCCGTGGTTTTCATCTCAAGGTCTGCAGACCCCTTGAGCTCTATCATCTTCTCCCTAAAAAGTTCCTGCTGCTGTGTTCTCAGTAGATTTAATTTTGTCAATTGCAGGTGTGCACCTTCAATGGAAAGTTTCTGTGAATTCATAAGTTTAAAAAAAAGCAAATCGCTGCTCTATGCAGCAATTCTGCAGCCTCTTGGGATGACTCCCATAAGTCACATTACTCACTTGTGTAAATGTTTGACAAGACAATGTCCAAAATGATCCTTACACTGTAATGCATGATTCTGATCAATTTTTGCTCTCCTTTCCAAACAATGTTTGCTGTGCTCTCCAGAATTTTTTTCTCAGTGTAATTGCTGTGTAACTTAACCCCTGGCAACTTTTTTGCTTACTTTTTCTCTGTTCCTCAGCTCTTTGAAGATCTGTATTTTTGAGGCTGCCGTGTCTGGAAAAGATGTTTTTCCAGCAAGCATTAGGTAGCGTGCACAGTGGAAATTTTAATCTTTAACAGAATAGGGCTAAATGTAGTCAGATTTATTTGCCCGATTTTTACATAGCAGATTGAAAATAAATATTTGGAATCGATATGATTCTGTTCCTCAGACAGGACAAAGTTTGTGTTTAAAGTCACCTCTGTGAATGAAATGACAGTTGCACGAGCTTTTTAATTGTTTTGTCTCCTGGAGTTAGTCCATCCCGAGTGGGCAGGAGCATCAGGTCCCAGGAATGTAAGTAAGTCTGCCGGGTAGCTCTGACTTAATGCCGGAGCAGTCATCAGTCTCAGTCACAGTCCTGGAGTGGCAGCAGAAAGGAGTAAACAGAGCCGCTCTCTCTGGTAGGAAATCACCTAATACACTATGCTATTTTATTCCTTTTCAGTTGTTCATTCTGGTGAATGATCTTAGTAAGAAGCAAGGAAGTTGACTTTAATTTCTGACCTGTGGTCAGTTCTAGCTTCCAGAATCGGTATTTAAAGTTTACATTTACATTTTAAGTACACGCACTCTAACATTTTGCCACTATAAATAAGTTTGTAGATTCTCTTAGGAACAGCAGGAGATCAGCAGCAGAGGATACTGAAAGTCTGGTCATTGAAAGAGGACCTGTACATCCGTAAATGCAAAACCAGGAGACAGGCTATTGAATAATTGCAGGGTTAGTGCTGCAACAAGGCAGAAATAGAAGTTATTTATTGCAGTATTTGTTGATACTGTTATTATGCAGTGCTGCTCTGCATTTCACATGCGATATTTATGAAAAATAAAACGGATCCGGCCAGAGTGTCTGACTGAAGGTAGAAGTTAAAGAGCCAGGAGTCTGCAGTTCTGGCCCCAAGTGTGTCAGTAATGTGCTGCCTGATTTGTGCACGCTCCTTGCACCGCTGCCCGTCTTTGTCTCCTCAACTGTGGAACAGCAGTGCTGAGATGTGTCAAGGAATATCTCTGGGAAGGGAAAAGTACTATAAAGCTGCAAAATTTGTTGCACAATGTTTTCTTATCGAACCTGGGAAATGAGAAAATGAATGTAAAAATGTATTTGTAGTTGAGGTTGTAACAGGAAGCTGCTGTAAATGCTGGAGGCAAAGTCCTCTCTGTAAACTTGTTTTGTATTGTTTCCTTTGGTCCGTATAGAACTAGATTGAGGAGCATTCATCCACATGTTTTTTAAAAAGCTGAGAAATTTTCTAACAAGAGTTGAGATAGTAAGTCTTACACCTATATGACAATCCTGTGTGAGACAGATCTAGCTGTAGAGAAAGATGAGAATTAAACACAGATATACTGAGAAACAGAAATTGCTGTAACAGAATTACACCTCCCAGTTATCGAAGAAGTGACTATGCAGAGATGCTCTTCTGTTTGGTTAGATCCCAATGAAAGGGAAAAATTACCAAAAGCATTTAAACCTGTGACGATATTGATCTTACAACAAATGATTCAAAACACTGAGCATTTCCTTCAAAAGTATATATGTTTTGCAGAACTGGTAAAACTCTGATATACTCCCTTCATTTCTAGAGAAATGAGCTTTTCTGCATTACCATCCCCTTGCGATTCAAAAACAGCAAATCAAGAAATTATTTTCCTCTGGTTTTGTTATTTCACCACATACTGGCCATCCACTGTGCGTCTGCTGGTCACTGCATTCTTCTACCGTTCTGAGGAAGACAGAGGGGCCAACTGCTGGTATATAAAGGAACATTAGGCTCATACAGAATTTTCCCAGTCCAACACAATTTCCTCTCTTAATGCTATTACAAAGAACAAACACAAACCAAACGATTCACACACATTTGTCTAATTTGAGGAAAATTCTAATGAGTTCCTTTGTGTTTTGTTTGCAGAACAGAGTGTTCTGGCAGTCGCCACATGGTAAAGCGAACCCGCAAGCAGCAGGCGCAGTGCTGTTTACCCTGAAGAAGCTAGTGTGCGCACTGGAAAGCGCTGACCGCTCAAATGGATCGCATGGAGCTGCAAAAAGTCAACATCGAACTTGATGACCAGAGCAACAGCGGGGAAAGCCTCGAAGACAGCTACACGGAGATGGCTGATTCAGAAAAGGCTGCAATCAGGAGGTAAGCATTTCAATGGGAAGGCTGCTCCGTTAAGGCTAAAAAACAGCAACTGAAAAAACAGCTTCACTAACAGCATCTTGGACTCGCAACATTTCGTAGGTAATGCATTGAAAGTAGTCTGATAGTTTAGCTGCTGTTTTCCTACAGCACAAAACTCTGCCTGTTCTGTGCCCTGATGAACCGTATGCCTCACATAGCAGGGATATCCCAGGCTCGCGCTTGCCTTTCGCTGCCTGGAGTGACCTTTGCAGGCTCCCAGCTCTGAGCACCCAGTTGGCAATTTGCAGCCACTCCAGTCACATAGTACACATGGAAATAGTATGTCAAAGGGGCAGTGTAACACGAACACGCACCCTATGTGCTTCGGCCTCACGGGAAAGGTTTCTGGGGCAGGATATGGAGACGAACAGCAAAGTGCTCCCGCTGGGACTGCCCACGCTCAGGTATTTTCAGCAGCAGCCCCCACAGTGCCAGCATTTGGATGGCCTGAGAGAGACATCTCAAAACCAGCTATTGGCCTCTAGCCCTGAGCCTGCTGAGGCCCCAGCGTAGGTCTCTGATAGGGCAGTTGCAAGGCTCTGGGTTACACGGATTTGAACTACGAGCTCAGCTGAGCCCACTGCTAGCAGTCACAATTGTTACTTTCGATCCTCCACAATCAGATATTGTTTGAAGGTTACTAGTTCTAACAGAGATTTTTCCAGGCAGGACAACGATCCATTAAACATGCAACTGAACATGAGAGACTTGCAGAAGAAAAGAGTTTTGTTCTGAAGGACTTTTAAGTATTTAGCCCGATGCCAAAGGAAAGTTTTCGCTAATGTCAAAGGGCACTGACTGAACACAACGTGTGTCATAAGCTTTATCTAATGTTTTCTTATTTTTCTTTGTGTTCAGTCCATTTGCTAGTGATGACGCAGAAAGTCAGAAGTTCCTTACAAATGGATATCTGGGTAAAAAGAAATTGGAAGACTACAGTGAGGAATATGTAAGTTTTATTCATTTTTAAGGGTTATCACGAAATAAGAATCATTGACCTGAATCATTTTACAAACGTTTTTGTAAACAAAGTTACTCTGAAATTTGATCAGTGTAATCTTGGATTTGGAAGAGTAAATACATTTCCTAGTAATTAGAGCTGCAATTTTTTTCTGTTGTCTGGCAAGTACGACTGGGTCTTTCCTTCACAAGCAGTCATAAAGGTTCCTCAGGGCATATTCTGTCTTCAGCAGCACCCGTGTCATCTCACCCAGGATGTTCAGCTAAGGGTACGTTCGCGCACATACTTCTGAGGGGAGATCCAGTCCAGAGAAATTTTATTGCTGCAGACACAGGAAGAGAAAGAACTCAGGTGGAGTCTTAAATGTTGGGGTCAGGCTTACAAGTAATTGAAATGAGAATTTGTAAACAAAAAAGCCGACACTCCTTTAAACATGGCACCAACAATTCCATTTTTAGACTCTCATTTCAGGGTAGATCTAGGCCTTATTGTGTATGTGCTTGTATTGTTTATTTGCAGGACTGGTGTAAATGAATTTACATCCAGCTGCATTGCTTTAAACAGATGATATTTATGTTTAGTTTTGCAACGCTAAGCATTACACTCTTAGCACTCCTCAAACTCTCTAGGCAACTCCATGTGCAGATGGGAACACAGCATGTGTGCGTGTGTGTATTTGTGTGTGTGCGCATCTGTTTGGTCAGGATTTAACTTTATTTAAAGTTATATTGAATCTGATGACAAAGAAAGATGTTATTTTATTAGATATCTTACGGATTTTATTAGGATTGTTCAAATAAAAACATCCGATAAAAAGCGAAAATTACTGTTTGTAATTGTAAACTAAAATTAACAGTTGTATTTCCCCCCCTTCTCTTCCCTTCTCACCTGGTGCCAGATGCTACTCCCTGACACACACGGTCCCCTGCTTGCTCCTAGTTTTTAATCCTTTCCCGCTCTCCTTCTCCCAGTGCAGTGGATTCCCCAGCAACACAGTGCTTTCTTTTCTCCCACCACCCCTAGATACATTTTTAGCTCCCTAGAGGAGGAAGCACATCCTACTTGGATAAAATTCAATAATCAGTGGAATTCATTTTAAAAAATCATCTGAATTTGTTAAACTAATAGCTGGGAAACCTGCTGGATAAAAGCATTTATGTCCATAGCTGCTGGGCAGCGCAATCAGTTCTGGCTGCGTCATCTCCGTTGGCCATCTCTCGAGGGAGAGCTGGAGGGAGACACCACAAACACGTGCTAGCACAGCAGGCATTTGGCACAAAAGGACTTCTGAAGTGACTGTAGGCTCAGGAACCTTGATAAGCAGTAAGAAATAATTAGTCTGTTGCACTCTAAAATGCAGGTTAATCACCATTTGCTGTTACTGTTCCAACAGCACCGGGGAACAGTTTCCTTTGGGATGTCATCCTTTAACCTGAGCAACGCCATTATGGGCAGTGGTATCCTGGGGCTGTCGTACGCCATGGCCAACACTGGAATTATCCTTTTTGTGTAAGTACGCAGACAAAAAATGAGTAGAATAGAAGCAGTGCGCTATTGGATCTTGTGGTAAGAGAGGTAAGGTAGCTTAAGAAACCATGTTTTGTTAGCTGAAAAGTATTGTAAGACCTCTTGTAAAGAAAACGTTTTAGATGCACCACAAGAAACCATCCAGCGCTGAAAAACCTTTTTTTTAATTTGAGGCCTGTTTTGTATCAGGAGCACAATAGTGAATTGATTCTGTCCGGTCAAAAACCAGAGGGGAAGAACAAGTATACTGGTCGTAAAATAACAACAGAAATCTTGCTGGTTCAGTATGGGAATTCTACAAGGGCAATAAATCACCCATAAAGTATATATTTACACTGTCCTAATTATGTAATCACTATGTAGAAAGGGAAGGAGAATATTCAATGTAAGTCTGAAATGGTGGCATGTTTTGACTAGAAAGGCACTCACAGATTTATTCAGATTTAATGTCACTCACTGCCTCAAGTCTATTTGTACTCAGTGTACACAGACGACCATGGTATGTAGCTGACATACAGTATCTATACAAAATGGGTTTTGGTTGTTGACAGTAACAGATAGCTGTGTGAGGTTTTTTAATCTACAGCTAACCTTGTCAAATGAGAGAACTTACAGAAAAATTGCTTCTCTCTAACAATTGGCTTTAATCTTAATTGGAGCCTTAATTTTAATCTTTCTTTAGGCTGGAACAGTGTACGACACTAGGTCATTGTTCTGAAATCTAAGAAGTCTCTAAACCAGGCGGCAAGGCTATTGCTATATGATTTTTTACTTTTGCAAGTTGTATAACTAGAACTGCAACAGTACTGGAAGTGTAACTTCCAGTTGCTAAGAAACACCTCCTATTTTTCTAGTAGAGTTTTTAACTGAAAATTAATTGTAGATGCAAATGCTACCACTCTCTGAGATAAGTACTTCTTAGCACCTGCAGTTGAATGGTTTAGATGTAGTATTTACACATACAAAAATGGAACCTAGTTCTAAAATTGACTGCATTAGAAACTGAAAAACTTAAGATTTTTTTTCCTCCACCTCCTTAGTTTAGGAACCTTGCTTTCTCCAAACATTTTTATTAATTAGTATGGCCATAAATTATACCACTGGAAAGAAAGCCATGGTATATCAGGCCTCAACAGTAAAAAAAAAAAAAAAAAAAAGGCTCTGGTATATCTCTTTTTTTGAGGCTCTGTACATTCACAAGTGTGGCTGAAAAAAATCTGATGTGAGCCTAGTTACATTAGCTCTGTTGGCAATGCTAAGCAAAATGCAAGCCTTAGCCTTGAGTAATGCTAAAGCAACCCTATGGAGTCTTATATAGCAAAAACAAAGGACATATCTACCCGGCAGCTCGTTTTCTTTTCTGTGCTACTTTCATACTTTGTGCATGAGAACATTCTCCCTTCTGGTAGAGGAAGGAGTTTTATTTAAAAGTACATAACTATGTGGGGGATACTGTTACCCGGATGGCATGCATCCACTTGCTGGAGGTTCTTCTGTTTTCACAAATTGTGACGTTAGCGTTAGTGGGGAAAAAAAATTCCACCTACTAAATGGAAGCTGCCGTACATCAACATTAATTCAGACTATGCTGGCAGCAGATGATTTACTGTTCTCATGTTGCCCAAGTACTCTCATGCTGGAAGATTTTCTACAGGGTGAAGGTGAGAGGAGGACTTCTAAAGCTCAGTAGACCCCAGGAGTTCCCATTAGCTCCTTCTCTCCAATGGGATAAGTGTGAAATTGCATGGAGCATGCACTGGAGCCTATTCTGCTGCCTGGCACAACTCAGCGGGTGCAACTGGGATATCTTTGGTTTGCAAAGATGCACCTCACATGTCAGGACACGGAGACCATGGCTCTGAATAGCAGCTACACAGGTGCCCCTTGTCAGGAAGGCTGCCTTTTAATACACTGCAATTTCAGCCGTGAGACTTTAGCCAAGAGCCATGACTGCAATCTCAGCATGTATCACATAGCCTGTGTCCACAGAAAGAGACACGACCTTGTTCGCATGAAGTGTATGGTTCTGTTTGTTTCTCTCAGAGAAAGAGCCCTAAAAGAAACTTGTGATGGTCTGGTGGCCATCCCATGGCCCCTAAGCTGATGTCACTTCTGCTCTTAGGCCATAGCTTGCTTCGGAAGCTGGCTGTCAGTGTCTCCCATATCTGCACTGAACCTCATCTTCAGTGGAATAGAAGTGCTGGGGGCAGAACCTCCTGTTCAGCTACTGAATAAGGAACATAAGCAGATAGAGTAGATATTTCCTAGCTCCATCATGTTATCACCACGTCCCCTTCTGCACCAACACTTGTGCAAGCTGAAGACAAGATAGTTATGGTAACAAGATATGCTGCCCATGGTACTGTGGCCTGAGAATGTCATACAAAGATACATTTTTCACTAGCAGTTCTCAAGAGGCTGATAACTGAGATCACATAGAATGCAAATCTTGTGTGGAAGGAACAGGGCAACGGTCAGAATTAATAAATTCAGGTGCCCATACCTTCAAGTAGATTAGGCTAGAAAAGAATGCTGCAAGCTCTCTGAAAGCAAGTTTTCTAGTGTCATACCATGCTTTAGCATTATGCAAGATTTCTCCTGTACTTTGCAAAGTGAGTACCTCAAATTAAATTCCACAATTTCATGATTACGTGGTAAAATGGTCTGATTTTTAAACGTATTGACTAGACAGGACTTGTCAGTGAAGTTGTTTCAATTCTTTTTTTTGTTAGGGGGAGGGGTTGTTGGGGGACACAGTTCTGTGTCAGGACAGATCAGGGAGCAAGCAGGAGACCAAATACCTGACATTTGCACAGAGATCTGTTTAAATCAGTAGGGTGTTGTTTAGATGCACAAGTCTATCTCTGTGGAAGAACATGGAATTGGCACCTACCTGCATTTAAACAAAGTCCGAGGGACTTTTGGGATGCTTACGGTCCAAGTGCAGCTACTAGTAAGCTACAGTTGACACTTATCTCTGCATTTTGTATCACAGGTCCAAAGCACAAATTTGCTGAGAACAATTTACCCATTGAACTTCTGAAGAACAAGCAAGCGTGAATTGTGCTCATACAAATTAACTGAGTGTCTTTGATGTCCTGTTTAGAATTCTGATTTCTGCTTTGCCTTGCAGAGTTCTGCTGCTCAGCGTAGCAATATTGTCACTCTACTCCATCCACCTCTTACTGAAGATATCAAAAGAAGGAGGTATGAGGATCAGGCTGTGCCTGACTAAAAGTTCCTGTGTCCTATTTGCACATATTTTACCTTGGAACGCAATTCATCAAGCGCATCCAGGGTAGCGGCCCATATTTCTTTTTTTGTTTTGCTTTGTTTTTTTCAGGCTCGCTAATATACGAAAAGCTGGGAGAAAAGGCATTTGGATGGCCTGGAAAATGTGGTGTTTTCATTTCTGTTACAATGCAGAATATTGGAGGTAAGGGGAAAATATTCTTAGAAAAAAAAAATTTCTAACTTCTAATGTTGTTCTACAGAATACCAGTGCTTTCTGCCTACATGGCATCAGAGGTGAGCAAGCCACAGCATGTGCCCTTCACTAGTATAGTAATGGAAGGACAGAAGGGGTTTATCTTGCCTAGTTTTAGCTATGTGACACTTTGGTGTCCAGTCAATGATAGTTGCCTGGAATCTCTCCATGACCAATGAACTCCGAAGATGGCTAAAAGGGCTTGGATGTCTCTCCTCATGGATTTGGCCATTATTTTTCATTGACTACAGCTCAGACAAGGCATTTACCTGAGGTGAGGAAAGATGAATCCACCTAAAAGGAGGAAGAAAAAAAGAACATGGTTCTGACTTCTCTGTAAAAAAAAGACTCTTCAGGTCTTGGTTTTCCAATTAAATTCTCTACTTGAAGCCACATTTTGATTCTAATAGCTCTAAAATGTTGAGTGGTTAACAATGACCTTTTAAATCATTGTTTCACAAAAGTATTTCTTGTGAAATACTTTTGTTGAATAACTGCAGTGCACTCAGCACAAGATACCATTTACTTACTGATATAGATAGCAGCTGTGGGACGGGGCCTTCCTGCACTAAAACTTATCTCCTTTTACAATCCTATGAGAAACTTCTTAGGAAATTTCTGAAAGCTTATGGAAGTCTGCAATGTTTTCCAGATTTCTTAACAAGAGGCAGTAGAAATAATTTAAATGTATCACTAGTCAATGAAATATAGATTTTTTTGTGATCTCTCTTAGAACTTAGCATGTTTTGCAAATCTCCACAGGCAGATTACTAGCTTTAGTCCTTTTAGACTAAAGGACTTTTAGAGTAATTTTTTTATCCAGAGATGGTGCACATCTCTTTCCTGCAAGAGACTTTGATTTTGTTCATAAAAGTTCTCATTCCACAATCTTCCTTTCCTTACACAAGCTTGGATATCATATGTGGTTGAATTCAGGACGAATTATACTTCTCTGATAGAGAGGAATAGCTGGTCATCTCATTCAGTGGTTTTCAACCTGTTGTCTAATGTTGATCCATAGGTTTCCAGGGACCTCTCTATGGCCAAAGTAAGATAACGGGGGGAAAAAAAAACGTGCCTGCTGTCAGCAGATTGAAATGAGGTATATAGAGGTCGACCATTCCACCAGGAATCATGACAATTAATCTTTTGGATCCGTGGAGTAAAATATTGAAAAAAAAAAAGAAGTTAGAAATAGAAGGGCCAAAGGGAACAAGAGATTCAGAGGTAGCGACAACCAATGTTACTGCAGAAAGTGGACAGACAGTGCCCATTCAAAAAACATTTACATGGCAAAGCAAAAGGAAGACTGTAAATTCACATTACAAATGTAAAATTCATCGTAAGAGTGATTTATGTTTTTAATTCACACAGAATCACACAGAATCGTTTAGATTGGAAGGGACCTCTGGAGATCATCTAGTCTAACCTCCCTGCTCAAGCAGGGACCTCTAGAGCATATTGCCCAGGATCAAATTCCGTAATAACTATATTGTATTCTGAATACGATGCTGGATGAATACAGAGATGAATACAAGGCTGAATGCTGGATGTCATTCAGTACACTCTAGAAATAGAACAACATCAAAAGAACATACCATCTCTTTACTCACCCTGCTACTTAAGCAAAGTTCGTTTCTCTATTTTAATGAAAACTGATTCTCAAAACTGTGCTTTTCAAAAGTTTTTTTTAAACAAATTTTTTTTGAACTATGTTCTTTCCTCTAAAGGCATTTGTTTGTTTGTTTGTTTTTCCCAGCAATGTCAAGCTACCTCTTTATTATTAAATATGAACTTCCTGAAGTGATCAGAGCATTTATGAAACTTGAGGAGAGTTCTAGGTAAGTACCTTTGCCCAATTTCAACCTTGGATGAATATTTTCCACTTTAATGTCAATAAAAATGATTGTTATTTTTTCATTTCCCCTCTTCAGAGAATGGTACGTAAATGGGAACTACCTCGTCATATTTGTAACAGTTGGAATTATTCTTCCCCTCTCCCTTCTAAAGAGCTTAGGTAAGGTTAATGCCCTGCTTAACCTCATTTCTTATTTCAGCTAGTTCTGTGAATTTATGTGTGGCTAAACTGTTTATTTTTTTTTCCTCTCTCTCTGTCTCTCTTTCTTACTTCACAGGTTACCTTGGTTATACAAGTGGTTTTTCATTGAGCTGTATGGTTTTCTTTGTCAGTGCGGTAGGTGATTTTTCAGGCTATGTCTCTATGCAAGTATAGAGTCTGTAAACTGTGCAACACCACGAAATTCCTTGCTACAACAATTTAATGTAGATGTTAGAAAAGCACCTGCGGGTGAATCAAATCAATTACCCTAATGCCAAACGGAACCGGAATAAAAAAGATCAGGCTAAAAACAGCGCTTGAAAGGGTAAAACATAAAGCAGGACAACAGCAGAAGCAGGGTAACAGAAAATATTTCCGAAGCAGCAGAAGTGATAGCACTTGGTTTCTTGCTCCCTATCTATCCCCTCCCTCTTCAGTGTGCCTGTTTATATTTCTGTTGGCTTATCAAGGGTGATCATCTTAGCCTGCCTGTCAGGGCAGGCTTTCATAGGGGTTCCACTCTGCTCAGTCATCTGTCTTCAGAGAACGTGAAGGAAGTGAATATGTTGAAGGAATAGAATATTTTTAAGTCTATTTGACTGGGTTGAAATTACCCAGTGGGCTGAAAGGTTATTAGAGAGGTTCTGTCAGATACAGATACACACAGTTGATGATATAAAGCCTTGTTTTTTCCTTAAATAATCATGTTACAAACATGACATTGTGGAGCAGGGCTGAGTTGGTGGATCAGGGGCTGTAATCGTAATTGGCCGTGCTGGATAAAAAATTCTCACATTACTATCAACAGGTGTAAAGGTAATCTCTTATGGCTGTACTCTTGTGATCACATCATCTATTCTTATTGTAGGTAATCTACAAGAAATTCCAAATCCCCTGCCCTCTCCCTGTCATGGAGCATGGGGCTGGAAACTGGACCACCATCAACAACACCATGCCAATGCACCTGGTCATGCTGCCCAATGAGTCTCTCAATTCTGGCGTGAATTTCATGATGGACAACACAGCTGGGCACATGCCAGGCCTTGAGGAGCCAAGGGACACCTTCCCTAAAAGTGGTGTGGAATTTGAAGCACACAGTGACAGCAATGACATGTGTCAGCCAAAATACTTTGTGTTCAACTCACGGGTAAGGAAGATTCTGTTGAATTATCTTTAGCGATTCATACCACAACTAAACTGCTGCCTGCCGAAAGTCAGAGATCCAGTAGTGACCATTCTTACTAATGGGAGCTTTATTTTACAGACTGCCTATGCAATACCCATCCTGGCATTTGCATTTGTATGCCACCCTGAGGTGCTACCAATATACAGCGAACTGAAAGAGTAAGGTTCTTAAATTTTGTTCTATGCTTCCAGTTAACCATAGCGAGGGATCACTTTCTAGGCATTTTGCCTTACCTGCTAATATGTAGACACCCACCCAGTAATGATTTAGTGCATTCTGTAGTAAGCAGATACTGTCTTTGCTTTGACCTGATAATCATATCTTGGTGAAAGAGAACCACTATTCAGAGATCCACATTGGATGACACTTACTTAGGAAAGGAGCAATCTGGATAATCCTTTGAATAATATTAAAAACACTGGGGAACGTGGTTGCACAGCATATAACACTGAAACAGAGAATTCTGATTTCTAAAAATATCTTAATGAGTTTTCTGTCTGATCAGCTGTTGCTTACTCTTAAAGTTTCCTGGGATGTCATTGGTTTGAGTGTCTTACATATGGTCTTAACCTAGCTTATTTTGCTTATCATATATCAAAAATCAAACACATTTGCTTATCAAATATGAAAAATAAAATAAGGCTTAACCTAGCAAAAAGTTGTCAGTTGGGAAGGGCTAAAAAATGCACGTGCTCAGCAGCAGGAGTTACATGACAGGAGGTTGTGCAGCAAAATTCAAGAAGGCCAAGCCCCATTGCCTCCTATTTGAGCTTGTTCAGCCTCAGAAGAAATCCCAAAGTTCCCATATGATATGCAAGCTTACTTCCAGCCCCCATAACCTGAAGGTTTTCTTATAGCACATTTTTAACTAAAGAATCTCTAAAGAAGGGATTTGACCTGCAGGAAGTTCTTCAACCTGCAGAACAGTTCTATGCTGATTTATGTGTATTCGCATAGAGCTGACTGAAAGCTCTTGTCTCATTACTATTAGCAGCCTCTGTAATTTTAGCTGGTCCATTTTTAATTCAAAAAATACAGTCTGAGATTGCTAGTGTTTAAATAATAATATATAAAATAACACGATGCATTTACATGTTGTCACTAAGTAAACAGTAGAAATTACGTCTGAGTACACTTCAATAAATCTGTGCTGTTCTGCACAGATCTGTGAAGCTTGAACTAAAGAGCCCCGTCTAACTAACATAGTTGCTATGAATTTACTAGCCAGTGAGGTGATGCCAGTAGAGTGAAGACTCTTCAGAGTACTTCTTGTACAACTAGAGGCTTTGTAAGAATAGCACTGTTACTCTCTTTCTCTCCTACTTCAGCCGTTCTCGAAAGAGGATGCAGAATGTCTCAAATATCTCCATCACCGGCATGCTTGTCATGTATCTTCTGGCTGCTCTCTTTGGATACCTTACCTTCTATGGTAGGTCAAGGCCCTGTTCTCTGCAGAATTTTCCCCATAACTTTTTTCCCCTAAGCAGGGGAGATGGAGCTTTCACACTTAGGATCAAGAGCCGTTGTGTTTTTGGTGGTCAGGAATACAGGTCTATGTGTTATTTAAAAATAATATGCAGCGTGTAATCTCCTGAATAAGTGGTGAGACATATCCAGCTGTCAGGCTGCAAGTTTCTCAGCTGTTGGATACTCAGCAGTATCTACTAGGGGGACCGGCTGTGTATCTGATTTTGTGAACTCAAACAACAAGCTGCTGTAAATTTGGCTCTTGGCAAAGACCAAGAGTGACAGTACTAAAAATACCCCAATACTCAAGAGCTTTGCGTGATACAATTAAATGCTACCTGCCCTAGCTCTAACACCAGTAAGTCAACTTCACCTATGCTGAAAAACAGGTGCAAATCATTCTAGTGTAAAAAAAATATGGATGAGCTGGCCTAACTGGAGGGTAAACAGAGTAGTCCCTATATTAGTGCACAGTTTTATGCAAACGACACCTCTTTTTACCTTGTTAGTTCCTCCATTACAGCAGAGAAGTGAATGACACAGCATAATCTGTACTCTATTGCTGTGGCAAGGGGGCTCTGTTTGAAAGCTGGGAGACTTGTGTGGAGGTCAGGAGATCTATTCCCAGTTCAGCAAGTTATTTTCTATTTCATATCAGAGAAACTATTTTGCCTCAGTTTCACATCCGTGTAATGACTTTGAGAAAGCATCACCTCAGAGCTGTACTACCATAGTCGATACTGGGTGAGGGACTTGTACCAGTCATACTGGGAAAATTCCTCTTTCCATAACACATAGCCCGTAACACATATCTAATGACAGCAGCTGGGCCAGAGCTAGTCTTATCTCACTGCAGTATAAAGATCTCCCTTTTGCATGTGCAGATATTGCTTGAGTAATTTAACTCCTCTCTATTTCCCTTCTGTAGGAGAAGTTGAAGATGAGTTACTTCATACGTACACCAAAGTGTACACATTTGATACCCTCCTCCTGACGGTTCGCCTCGCAGTGCTGATGGCTGTAACTTTGACTGTGCCCCTTGTCCTTTTCCCTGTAAGTAGCAGAGTGGACAAAGCTGAAATCTGGGCTAGCCTGTACACGCTGACTGTGGTTAGCAGCTGCAAAATTTACGCAGACAGTCCTTAGCATTTGAGAAAAGGAAGCCTGAGTTTTAATTTGGGAGGGTCTATTTTCTCATCTATAACTTGCCTGAGGCAAGGATCTTAGGTAGTTAGGGTTGCAAACATTGAAAGACTAAAATAAATCAGCCCTCAGGAACAACTGCCCTGTCTCTCTCTGGCCCTCTCTGTACTACATTTAACAGAGCAGCAGTGTACTGCTCTGTACACTGAAGTACTAGACTTAGGGACATACTACAGCATCCAAATTCAAGACAGACACGTGCAGCTCAGGCCACGTGTTAGGCAGGGCTGCCAGACCGGGCTCCCTGGAGAACCAAGGTAGAGAAGTAGAGGCCTTGTGCATATTGCTTAGTGTAGGTGCCTAACCTGGATGTCACAAATATTATTATGTATATTATATGATCAAATAATGATCATTTTAGAAGTCTTATCCTTCATATTAGGAACAATTCTGGATGACGATATTGGGATCTGCATAAAAAAAAAAAAACCCTTTGTTAAACAGGGTTCGGGGTAGGCTCTAGGCACTGCTGTGGTTTTTAGTTTCAGCATTTTGGAAGGCTGCAGAAGTGGCTTTCCTCAGGCAGCACGATATAAATAAGGACCACAGCTCCAAAGGGGAACATACCTACCATTTTACACTTCAATAGGTTTCCTGTGTGTTCCCACTTGCGGACTGACTCCAGTCAGTGAAACTGGGGCAACTGGCAGAGAGAAGTATAATGCAGCACACCTACCAGTTCAGTTCCTGCGCTCGCGCAAAAGGCTGTGGGAGCCTTCCCAAACCAACATCTTGAGTTGAGCCTATGGATAGGAAATGAGGCTAAGTGCCAAAAAAACAGATGCAGTCAAGATGCAGCCACACAGTCGGATATCTGAGCAAAGTGCAGAGCTTCTAGATAGTGTTCACAGGAAAAAATACAATATCCATAGCAGCAGGAACAGAAAGAGAAGCTAAATGGCTCTTCAGGGATCAATCCCAGCTTGAAGAGCAGACCTTTGGACTCCTGAACCTACAGCACTGTCCCTTATGTCCTCCCTGCACTGCTCTGCAGCAGGGGAGAAAATAATTGATCCTTGACAGTACATTTCAGGGGACTTGTGTGCCATTTTCTGGGGTCCATACAATGCCAGCATCATGCAGTTGGTGGGTTTCCAACAAACTGCGTTGCTCTCTAGTGTTCCTGTCTGATGGGAGCAGTAATCCCAGGGTCCTGTTGCTCCATTGTCCTGGATGCAAACACAAGTTGTGCAGAGGTACTGTTTCCAGGCTCACAAATACTTAAGAGCAATGATCACCATTCAAGGTTATCTGCAAAAAAAATCTGGAAATCTGGTCTGGTGTAAAGCTCCCAGAGAGGTCAGTCCCCCTGGCTTGCAGAGCGTTCTGATGCTCTGCCTTAAATCCGATGTTGAAAGAGATAGTTACGTGTGTATATTAGTCTTAACTAATAGATCATTTTTCAGGAGAAAATAGGTTCAGGGCCTTACAAAAACCTCTATCTGTCAGATGTTGTATTTTGCATTTTTAATTTTCTGTATAATTATTTTTATACCTGGATAGTGTACAGAGGCTTAGCAGTTACATACCACAGAACTAATTGCTCTATTAAAAGAATTCCTGAGAAGTTATCATTTATTTTAAAGCCAGTATACAATTAGATTGCGTACAGTTTATACAATTATTTGTATAAAATCAAACAATTTTATATGGCCTATCAAGATAGCCAGCTCAGCACTAGTGATGATCTGCTTACTCCAAATATGTAAAATAGCTGTACCGACTACTTTGTAATGAACTATTAGGTTTGTATTTTCTTAAAGTAGTCAGTTTATTCTCTTAAAAAATGTATTCATTGCACTGCAAAAATATTTTTAAAGATAGGTCTAAATAACATTAGTCACTACAAAATCTCTGTTTAATAACTTTGTTTCAAGGGCAACACGACAGCGGGAATAATACACAATATGCTGACAATGAGTGAATAGGAATACAGAGCACCAGTTCACAGTGTACTAATGCTGTTTTACACTAACTCAGAGACTGAACTAGATTTTTGCAATCTGCCTCCCTCTTCATCCACAGCATTGGCTCACTTCACCCTGAAAAATATAAAATGCAAAATTCTTGCTGTGTTTTGCAATGATGGGCTCCGAGTTTGGCAGAACTCCATACATTTACAGAATTGCCAAACTCATCCAGAAACAGTTATTTTCAAATAACTAAACAAAAGTGCTTTTTGAGCTTTTTTTTAAGTTTAAAAACATTTTTATTCAATGCCTACCCTTCAAATCTTTTAAGTTTATCATGGTACTTCAAAGTAACTCTGTCTTCTGCCACCAAAGGGATTTGCCATTGACCTTTTTCCTACTTACTGTCTTTGCTGATGAAAAAGCAAGAGAGTCTCACATTCACGCAATAAAGTCAGTGGAACAAAAGAGATCCTCTACAAAAGCTTTTAAAAGTATAATTTCCAAGTGACGTTGTAAGATGTGCTTTTATTTTGATATGTATGCTTTTTTTTCGTAATGCAAGTAAAACAAAAGCTTGCTCTTTCTCTCATGAAAGTAAATGACAGAACTCCTGTGGGAATTTCAAAGGGATCAGGTTCAGGAATACAGCAACTCATATTTCACCCATGCATTTTTGCCTGTTGATTAGTATTCATAGTGGGGGTTTCTTTGGGGGTTTTTTGCTGATACTAGCATCTTTCAGTTGAACAGATTTCATCTCCCTGATTTTACACCCTATTTACTTGTCTTTCTTCTGCACTGCAAATATTTGAGTTTCTGCATTAAACTGTGAATGTAGTTCTCAAAAACCTTCATCAGAGTGAGATTACATTAAGGGAAGTAAAGGCTGAAAACACATTTCTTCAGTCAGAATTTCGCACCGCAAAAATGACTGGAATAGATCATTTAAAAAGTGAAAAACAAAAATAAATTAATTGTTGTTTTACTTTCCCTGGTGATTTTCATCTTACAGATCCGTTCATCTATCAGTGCACTGCTGTTTCCCAAAAGGCCATTCAGCTGGATAAGACATTTCCTGATTGCAGCAGTAATTCTTGCTTTTAATAACCTGCTTGTAATTTTTGTCCCCGCTATTAAAGACATCTTTGGATTTATTGGTAGGTTTCATAAATACTTTGCATTTACTGTGCTAATCCTTTCCACAATATATTTACGTTCATGTACTGAATGACATTTCTCAGTTCAGGTCTTACAATGGAGTAATTTAAACACAGGTTTGAGTTTGTATAGGAAAAGTTAAAACGGAAGTAAAAATTCCCAAGTAGCTGACACACAAAGCCAAATTCTACCCAACTTAGCTGTCAGCCCGCAGAAGGCACAAGGAATCTAATAAATCTAGCATAAAAAAATGATAAGGAATTCACATTTTGATTAAAAAAAGGCATTTTGTGCGTGGAGGGAAAGGGGTTTTCAAGCATCTCTAACCAGTACAAAATGCATTGACTTGCAAACTGTGATGTTAAAAAAGAGAGAAAAGTAACATATTTCTTTTGAAATTCACAGTTCTCTCTCTACCTCTTTCTTCCAGTCAAATTTGGCACCTGATCACTGAGCAGGGAGCTTCCGTCCCCCCAAACTGCTTGAGGACTCAGGGACTGAGATGCCCTTGAGACTGGCACCCCCACGTCTTTTTCGCACTGGTGCCTTTTTCACATTTTGTGCTTCGTGCAGACAGCCAATTTGCAGTTCCTTGCTTTTTACATCTGAGCTATCACCCTGGGCTCTGTTAAGGGCCTCTCCATTGAGAGGAGAGAAATAGGCACGTCCAGGGCACAACTCAGCCACCCAGTTTTATATACCTCCTCTCCAGGGCACTTGTACCCTGGAAGTGCTTATTTGTTTCCACTGACTACGGTGGCAGTCTGGAGGACCAGCTCACATGCATCATCTGTATCGCAGGCAGCTGCGCTGGATTCAACGGATCGTCCCATCACCAGGCTCTTTTCAGGCCCTGAATGCTCACATAAGTGTGTAGACACGAAAAGAGCTTTCCCAAGTCTGGGTCTCAGGAGAAGGAGGGGACAACGGTCCTCCAAAGAACACAATACAGGCCTGAAGTCAGCCCCATAAAGCCCAGTATAATTATTCCTGAGGCAGAGACCAACCTGAGACTTTTTTGTAGCCTGGAAGTGAAACTGTGCAAGTTCTGGGTGAATGTAAGACAGTTCTGCATGAACACCAAATATGAGATAGATCCTTTTTTCTGCAACTGGAATTAGAACAGCAGCTAGCACCCTACACGGTCTTTTTGCAGCATACACCACACTGATGTGTTTTCCTTACACAACACAGTACTCAGATCTAGTTTCTGTTCTAGGCGCCTCTTCCGCCACGATGCTGATTTTCATTCTTCCTGCTACCTTCTACATACGGCTTGTTAAGAAGGAGCCTCTGAGGTCTCCCCAGAAGATCGGGGTAAGTGGGCGGGCAGCCACTGCAAAAGGAAGGAAGGGAGATTTTGTGCTTTCTGCTGATCACAAATACTCAAACTTTGACTTGCAACATCTGGCAGCTGATCACAAATGGTAGCGTTTCACTCAAAATGCTTGGTGATTGTTAACCTTTGGGCTCTGATTTAAGACATGTGGTGATTCATGCTGAGCAGTATCTCCCTCACTCCGTTTCAAGTCTCCATGACCCTATAGTAGAGCGGGCAGAGCTTGTTGAGTGGCTGCTCCTCAGCCACCGTGTCCAGCTGGACGTGGACCCACCACATGGGACTGGGGCCTGCACCCGCTAAAGAGCGACGGCTCAGTGCCTGAGCTGCCACCTCACTGACAGGGGCAGGGGTGGGGTGAAGCATGGCGGTGGAAGAGGGAAGCGGGCGGGCTGTGTAATTCACACTAACCCAGAGAGCCAGCATCCACAAGTCAAAGACTTTGAGGCCCTGATGCTACAGATACCTTACTGCTGTACAGAAAGCTTGCTTCTTTGTGTGGAGTCTGACCAAAAGCTTTGGTCCCTCATAAACAACAGCATTCAGTCCCTCAGATTATGTATGCTCCAGAGATTAATTCTCCTAAAAAATTGGGAAGGGCTCTTGGCCCTGTTGAAGTCAAGGAGGGGCAGAATTTCACTGCTGAAGCATTTTTCACAAATATTTATAGGGTTTGTGGTATTGTTCTTAATATGGATGAGGCTACCAAGTATAAAACCAACTCTGCCTAGCAAACCTATCCTTTTACTTACCTTGCCATGTGGATATTATTACTATCATTAGTGCAGAACAGCTTTGAGGGGTCAAAGACCTGGAGCAGGGCTGGCAGTGGTAAATGAAGCCACTGTATTGGTCTTGTTTGCAGTAAAGATCATGAGATTAGAGCAATGAAAGAATTTTCACTGTGGCACAGCTCAGAAGTGATATCAGAAACCAGGAATGGAGGACAGCATGTGTATGCGGGAGGATCCATCACAGTTCTTTCACACTAGACATAACAATCAGTGCAGGCGAAAAAAGGCTTAATACGACAAACCAGTCACACCTACTGGTGCTGCTTATTCCCAGCTGTCTTTATGCATCTCTGATGTAAGGGAATTTCCTCCATTCATGAACTTCTGCAGTCCACCTGTTCACAGAAACAGTAGAATAAGTCTCAGGCCCAGCTAAATTGTATAATAAACAGTATTTGTCTAGATTAAAGTGTGTCTTAAAACACTAGAAAAAGGCATTTATTTAATCCAACCTAAGGTTTAGCTAAGACCTGCACTTGTATAAATAATACCTAAATACTATATAAGGAGCTGTTGATTCACACTAGAAGGCCAGCTGCGGATTAAGAGGAAAATTTGAGGTCAAGGTTAAGAAGAAGCTTGTACTGCAGAGATAATGAAGTAACAAAGAGATGGGAGTTCCCCACTGAGATAGACTCATACAAGCACAGAAGATATACAGAAGATATATATAAAGCTCTATCGTTTATACACAGCATGTGTTTACAGGTCATGCTGGACTGCCACAGCAGTACCTTTTATTCTGAACATGGATAGCTATCTGCACATTTAACGGTATCTCTTAGGAGATGTTCTTTGAAAAATTAATTGGAAAATCTATTGATGAAATACATATGCAGACAAATAATGTAAATAGATATACATATCCACATCTATATACATGTAAACAACAAACGATGTACATCATTGACATGAAAGAAGTACCAACTGAATTGGTACATAATGCAAGTATAAAAGAAAAATCTTTACCATCATAAGATGTTTTCTGAAGATCATTTTTGAAACAGTTATCATTAGAGAGAAACTGTGAATATTTGTTCATGTCTGTCTTTGTTCATTCTTCAAGTTTCTGTGCTTTGATCATATCTAGAATTTCCCACCCTGTGCTAGGATTGCATGCAATATTCATCTTTGTGTTGTGAGGCAGAATATTGTTAAGTGTGGACAGATTATGGTAAATTAAAGTCCTGCTAAAGCAGAGGGGGAATGTAAGCACCTGAATCGTCTGAATATACACAGAAATGCTTTTAGAGGAGAGAGATGGATTTGCCTGTTTGTCTACTAAGGATGAAAAGGATTAACTATGAAACTGTTCTTGATATCAGAGACAATGATCCTTCATTGACAGCAGGCCAGTTTTTAAAGAAAAAATATGCTTCTCTTATATTTGTATTACTACTCTTACTAACAAAGTGGGTTTTTTTAAGGTCAGGTGTTCTAAAGCCCAGCTCTCTCAATCTGAAATTTATTCCTAGGTAGAAGCACAGGCAATGCAGAAATTACACTGAACTTCTATACAGGATTAACTTTGGTTCATGTAGCCCTATATGATGTTATTTAGGCTTAATCACAGAGAATGTCCTCAGTTCAGGCCCTGAGTGCTGTACAAATAAGATTCCCATGGAATAGCCAGTGAATTACGGTGCATTCAGCCATTTTCTTTATTAATATAATTTTATTTTCCAATTGCAGGCTCTAATTTTTCTTATAGTTGGCATAATCTTCATGATTGGAAGTATGACTCTAATTGTAATGGACTGGATTTACAACCCTCCAAGTTCCAGACATCACTAACCTGTAGAGATAACCACGTACTTTTTATACCATAAATATTTGTATTGTGTGCTCCAAAGGACATCTAAATGGGAATGTTATTCCTTGGTAATAACTGCAATATTTCGGAGACGGTTTCTGGTAACCTCACTAGAACCCAAAGGAGTACTACGTCATCCTTTCCACCGAGGATCGTTATTTATGCATTAAGAACCTGAGCTTAGCATTTCTGGCCAGGTTAGATGAAATGTGTGGTGTGGATGCTTTTTATTTCCAAAACCAAAATAAGAGCAATTGTGTATATAGTCCTCAAAAATAGTTTGGTGTCACCCTGTCCGACTCCAATCCCTCATCTGAATAACTACAGTTCCTAGAGCACTGGAAACGTAATGGCCGAAAAACTCGCTCATGCTTTGTTTTGTATCTGAAACTCATGGGAGCAGCTGCCCAGCTTTAAGAGAGAGGATACGGTTTTTGTTGGTGAGCTCAAAAGTGGCTGCTCCCTGCCGATCTTTCTATAAGAAAGGTGACAGCTTTGGCAAGACAGTAGACAAGGCTGAGCATCCGATTGTTGCCCAAATTCATCACCCTCAGCACACGACAGCTGTCATTCAAAAAAAGCTCTCTCTTGTACAGTCAGCTCTCTGCAAGGAGACCCTGTGCTGGCGCACAAGCTTAAATAACAGTTGAGCGTTAGCGGTGTTTTGTTGTTAAAGATGCCTGTGCTGGAAACAACAGGCATTTCTGGTGTGGGTTTTTTGGTTTCTCTACCTTTTTTTAATTCTTGTGTGAGCTTGCACCACTGAACAAGTTGTACCCTCCATAGAAACTTGTCTTCCATTCTCACAAGAATTTAAGGAGACCCCAAGGTGTTGCACAGCACCCTATCCAGTATTGTTCAGTACTTGTGTATTTGACAAATGTTCAGTGCGGGAAACTGTAATTTGCTATATATATGTCTATATATATATATATAAATATATATATATATTTATGTACATAATCTTTTGTTTTCCTCTAGTTATCAAAATGTTACCCTACGGTACATTATTTTTGATTTTTTTTTATATGTGTCACTGTTTTCGTAGCCACACACTTTATATTGTTTTGAAGAAAACGTATTGGATTGGTGGGTTTGTAAAAGGTTCATTTTTATTCAGCAGTGTTTGAATTATACAAGCTCTAGCCGTTACATGTGTAGAAAGAAATTCAGATATTTACTACATATGTTACAATAAATTGCAAGATGCTTTTCTCCTGAGAATTTTTAATGTGTGCCTCAAAATTCTGTATTATTATCATTGTAAACTAAAAATTTGGGTAACTTCTGTTGCTGTATCTTAGCTTGCCTTTGTATACGCTAGCATTCAATGACATACATATATAATTAAGCTACGTCAAGGAAAAGACATTACTGGGAGTCTCAAGTGCATCACGCCGTGCAGCTGTGCAAGACCAAAAGAAAATGTGAAGTTCCATGTTATATGGATGATTCATTAATGCTCAGTACCCTACAGATTGTGATTTTCTCTGTGCTGTGGGGTACTCTGTACTCACCAGGAAAAACAATCAGTGAAGACACACTAATTCCATAGCATGGGGAATGGGTGGGGAGGCCCCACTCTTGGATCGAACATGCTTACACCGATCCAGGCTTATGTAATCAGAGTTTTCACTCTCCAGCTTAAAAATCTGTTGAGTACACACCTGTGAACTCAGAAAGTCATAAAGCACACAAATTTATCTCTGTTCACAAAATTGTGTGTGTGTGTGTGTGTGTGTGTGTGTGTGTGTGTGTGTGTGTGCGTGCAAATGCAGGTATGCATACAGATTAACTGAAAAAGCATCTCAAATATGTATTCCATGCTGACCACTATCTTTCTGGGCGGTATTTTATGCTCACTTAAGTACTGTATACTTAATATATTGGAGTACATTTCCTTGTGAATACTAAGTCTCTTTTTGCATTTTTTAGAGAAAAGGGCTGCAATAATATTTTCCTCTGTTTTAAGCAGATTAATGCAAATAATGCTGCATTAATACTGAAGAGACCTTTAACATGGACTAGAGTTAACAGTAATACACACACACACCCTTTCCTGTCGTTTTTATTGAGAGTTACATGTATGGAAGAATTGAGCTGTAATTGCATTTTCATTTTAGTATGCAACTGCATATAGTAACTGCAGTTGTATTTTGTAGCGCACCTAAAATGTGGATGAAGTCAAGAGAAATAACAGAAAAACTACAGGCAACAGTGCAAGTCACTGCCTTTTCACGGCCCAAAACTAGTGGTACCATATAGTGAATGACCTTCCATAACACAGTTAGAGAAAGTCTGTGAAAGGCCAGATTTTAAAGCTAAAGTATGCTGCTCGCAGCGTTATGCAGCTGCCATTCATACTGAGAGTAAAGATAGTATTGTACACTAACTTATTTAGCACTGCTGGGAATGGTGGATGTTGGAGTTACTCGTTCATTTTGTAATACTGACAATAGGCATTGTGAGGATTTTTATTACAAAACCATCCACTGATATACAATAAATGAACTTTTCAAAGATTGCAGATTTTCTTTTCTTCTGTTTTAGGCTAGCAGGAGAAGGCTTTTTTTTTTTTTAAATGAAGCACTGGCAAACTGATAGCCTTCACATTAGCATCACTAAAACTGCATTCCCTTTTAAGAGAGAAACTTGTGTATCCATAAATATGCAGATGAGCAAGAGGGCAGACATGGCAGCCCCTTCACAGAATAACCCTTTTACATCCCCTGTTTTGCAGCTATTCATGGAGATTCATAGAGATTGCAAGGTAAAGAATAGCTGGCATTAAATCTGGGGTTATCTGCAAGATACTCTATGCGTTGTTCTCTGGAGCATGGGATTAGTCAGGATACACGGTATAACAGCTAAGTATAGTCACTATTAGGAGTGCACACCAGATGGTAGTGCTCTATATAAATACTTCCTATAATTGCAGCTGTAGGTTTTCCTGCTGTCACATATTTGTCTGGTGTATAATCATAGCCCAAAATATACCAGATTATATGCCACTCTGGCACTGATGATCTCGTATGAGAACCACATTCTCAGACCCAGCAAGCCAGAGTTTGTAACCTGTCTGCTCATGAGAAAGGCATTGCAGACCCAGACACTTGCTAAACACCGGCTATGCTGCATGGACTGAGGACCACGTGTCCCCATGAGCAGAGGGACAGTGGGAGAAGCCACCACATGTTGCTAGCAGATCCACCGTCCATCCTCAGAGCCGAGGCTGAAGATGTGATCATTGCTGGTGCCTCGGCCCTGTGGCTCACAACTCAACCCAAAGTGCTTTAAATTAGGAGGCCAGCCTGAAAGATTAACGCATATTTGCTTCTGCCATCTCTGGCTATGGCACTCACTTCCAGCTAAGAGAAAAATCATCCTGCCATGAGTCTTGACTGGTGGTACCCGTATTGCGAAGAACGGCTGCTCTCAGCTTTGGCTCACTCTTCCTCATCCACAGTTAGCATGGAGGCCACACTGCCACCGCCACCAGAACCCCTCTTGTCCGGGACTGCAGGCCATTCACTGTGCCCTGGCAGAAATTCCTCACAGATTTTTCTCCCTGCCTTTCGGTTAGGTATCCTTAATTCCCTGCAGCATTTACTTGTGCCCTGCCTTGATGTTTCTTAAGCTGTAAGTTCCCTGTGGCAGAAGTTTAATTAAGTAATTAAAATTGTGGAAAGTGAATGAGGGAAGTTAAGGAAAAGGAAAAAACATGTCTGTATGGACAAAAAAAAAGAAAGTATATTAGAAATTTTAGCTGTCACAGAGGTGTGTCTTTGAATGGAAATGGTAAGAATGCCAGGAATGATATAGAAAAGCAGAAGTGATCAATAAATATCTCAGTTCTGGCTTTGGAAAGAAACTGAACGAGGGACGCTCATTAGAGGGCAAAGTCATCTCTAGTCCATAAGTAATCAAAGATGATGTTAAACAACATCCATCTGAATAGAAAGGCAGCAGGCCTAGATAAGTCACAAAAGCAGCTGGCTCTCTGGTGTTAATTTTCAGTAAACCTTTGCATGCTTGGCTAGTTCTCGATGGCTGACATAATAATAATTAGAGCTAGTCAGCAATTACTCACTAAGAGGTTTAGTCAGTGGTATTGATGGAAAATTTCCATGACTTTAAATTGCAATGGAAGTTTTGCTGAAAATGTGCCATTGTAACAACATTCTGACAGAACCGAGGCAGACTCTAAAGGAAAATCTGCCTGGTTTTCTGTTAACCCATCCGCAAGGTGCTGAAGGCCTCCAGGAGCTGTAACTTCTGGTCTCCATGTACCCTGGAAGCTGGATCCTCCACAAGGCTATCTATCTGGTGGCTTGAGATAGGGCCAGCATGCTGACAGGGAGCCCAGGCAGCCCTGATGCTTTGGCTTGGGGTCTAGGGTGAACTCAGGATCGCAGATTTTCCTGCTGTGGAGTTTGGCCTCAGTGCTGCTATGACAATCCCTTCAAAACTCTCACAGTAATAATAATGCTGTCCAGTAGCATCCTGCAAAAACCCATTCTGGAGAACAGAAGCTGCAGCTTCTTTCTATTTAATTAAATCAGCACTTATTTTATTTTATAATTTTTAAACTATTTTATAAGCTTGCGCTGAAGCTGGGTGATAAAGACTGTTTTCATAAGAGTACAGGAGACACAAAGCTGGAAGGGATCTCAAGTAACTTTATACTTCAAACCTCTGTCATGGGTTAGATAAGAGCGTAAGGTTAGTGTTTACAGGTAGGAACGTTGGGTTCCGCTGCTTATTTCAGACATTCAGTACACTCCACGGAGAAAGAAATTGCAGTGCTAACTGGTTTCACGATCGCTACAGACTGTGAAGAGCTACTTTTTCCGGTCACACGGGAGACGCTCTTGACAAGCCCGAAGTCTGCCAGCATCCGCCCTCTGTACACCTGAGATACTACGACGGGCCCACAAATTGTCACGTGCAGCTGATTCAGGCAGCATGTCAGAGTGCTGCAAAGCTACAGTCTTTATTGGTGGAGTATAACAGTAAAAACAGCTGTGTAATATGGATCCTAAATGCCCTGTGCCAGTATGGTGAGCTAAGTTCTAGAACTAATGCACTGTGTAATGATGAATAGCTTTAGAAATCAATGCACTGTCCTAAATTTGCTATATAAAATGAGACGGAGACCTTGTTCTGTTACTAACAATAAAACAGAAAGTATTTGTCTCCCAAAAGAAGTCAAACTAAATGTAGTGGGACACTTGCTTGGCCAGAACTTTCTGGGACATATTGAAATGAATGCTTCAAGTTCCGCACATTCAAATGGAAAGTGTTCACAGCATTCATTCATCTTTACATAGCATGTGCCTCTTCTGGCACAGTCCTCTCAAGGCCTGGGAAAACTACCCCATTTTAAGTAACAGATTGTCTACATCTAAATTATTACCTAAATATTTATTCCCAACAGGGCGATCAGTACCTCCTTTCAGGCAGAAACTTGGTGATGGCAGGAAATGACAGCTGCATGCAGCTTCCTTTTCTCTATCCGACCAGAGTGAAACTCCTGCTTCTTCCATCACAGAACATCTGATTCATCTCGTCCTTTCTTCTTCAGATTTGTGGCTGCAGTTATTATACAAGGAGCTTGAACAACTGACCCATTCCAATTGCTACAGTCAAACTAAGCCAATACACAGTTTCACGTATATGAGTTAATACAAGTGCTGATAATATGGTTATCACTTTTCATTTGAATCCTCACCTTTAGGTCCATCCTGAAAAACCTAGAGGGCTTAGCATAATACAGGCCTTCAGATCCTAATATTTCAGAATCCCCCTGGGAAGAAGCAGCTTCTGAGGCAGATTCCTTTTCAGATAGCCCACGCTATTTGCTGTTTCCTACGGGCTTGCTTGGTGTTCTCCTCTCGGTTTGCAAGAACACCACCTCACCATTCAGAGGCACTTCAGCCTCATGTATAATCAGTGGACAGAAATAGGTGCCCTACTGACGTCCTCAAAACCTCATTGCAGGAGCTAGGAGCCACCTGTTTTCATCCATCACCTGCAGTGATATAGTCTTCATATATTTGGAACGTGCAGAGAACTGAATCTTCTGACCCTCTGGGGCCTGGAAATCACTTTTTGGGTACTTCAGTGACTGAACTGCATACTTGAACTGGGCTGCCATAATACACTCCTATGTCCCTAATAATGTTTTTGCATTCTACAACTCTTTGTATAAACTTCCTGCAAAATACAGTTCAGACCTTTTTTTAATCCACCTTCAAAGAAATCCAGCATTTCAACTACCTCTGGTTTTACACCTCTGAATAAGTGGGCAGATACAAGCACAGCAGAGAATTGTAGTCTCCCTTATTTTCTCCAGGTAATCATAGGTCGTACCCTAGACTGTTGTAGGGAACATGTGTGTAACAACCAGGAAACTCCTCCATCTTTGGCTCCTTATGCTACTCATCAAGGATCTGTTAGACATGGAATATCAATAACCTAGTCAGGGGTGAGTTGTGCAACACCCTCACAGTAAGCAACTAAAGCAACAACAGGCAATTAAAGCAACTGTGATCTTAACAGCTATTGGGAAATCAAAGACAGGATTACTCAGAAAGCAAGTTTCCCTGAAATTGTCTCAAATGCCCAAGATCTCATAGTACTATGTGACAATAGAGTTCCATTTGGTCAGATAGCATTTATGGTCAGGTGAGTGAAGCAATCTGTTCAGGAATAACTCACTTTCTTATGTACAACTATATACACTGTCAGAGCCATGAACTGATTCATTTTGGTTAAATGGGAATATTTTACCAGGTTTCAGGTAAAAAAAAAGCACCAGGGCAAACTCAACATTCCTGTTCAAAAAAGAGGGTATATTGCTGGCCTCCAGACCAAAGGTGAGACCGGAACTGTTTCCCTGTCATAGACACCGCTTCACTAGCACCAAGGGGTGCATCGCTTAACATCCTTAGCTTCAAAAATTCGAACGGTGCAGTAAATACTGGCTAAATTTGTGCTCCAGACACTTTGAAACACAGCAACAACACAATAAAGCTGTGTTCAGTAC